TAAAAACCTCTTCTTTTACAGGCAAGCTAAAATGTTTAAACAAATCTAACATTTGCAGAGAAGAGTCTAGGAGGTTTAGAGGAAAATGTACATTCTGACAGAAAACTTGCTGCTCTGAACATTGCTGCTTGGTGTCACGGGAGTTCATCTAATTAGACACCACTTATGAGTAGCTGCTTTTATACCATTTTGCAAAACCACCATATTAAAAAAATGTGGTAAAATTTATTTTTCTTTTTCCATGCTCTACTTAGTTAAGAATTTCTTGTGCACAATTTGCTGCCAACATGATCAGAGGGGTGGAACACCTCTCCTATGAAGAAAGGCTGAGAAAGTTAGGGTTGTTCAGCCTGGAAAAGAGAAGGCTCCAGGGAGACCTTACTGCGGCTTTTCAATACTTAAAGGGGGCTTGTAAGAAAGATGGAGACGGACTTTTTAGTAGGGCCTGTTGTGATAGGACAAGGGGTAATAGTTTTAAACTACGAGGGTAGACTCAGACTAGACGTAAGGAAGAAATTTTTTACGATGAAGGTGGTGAAACACTGGCACAGGTTGCCCAGAGAGGCGGTAGGTGCCCCAGCGGTGGAAACATTCAAGGTCAGGTTGGACGGGGCTCTGAGCAACCTGATCTAGTTGAAGAAGTTCCTGCCCATGGCAGGGGGGTTGGACTAGATGACCTTTAAAGGTCCCTTCCAACCCAAACCATTCTATGATTCTATGACTTTAACAAAGGTCTTCCAGAAATCTATTCTCTTGATCATCTAAGAAAGCCCATGTTGCAGGAGGTTTACTTTTTCCATGGAAGAGAAGGGAGAGACTTTGGAAAACAAAGCTCCAAAGCTTTAAATAAGCTCTCTGGGAGCAGATCCTGACATCTGCAGGATATCTTTTTGACCCTAATGGGCATAAGATCATGCAGAGTCTACTGCAGAGTCAGGCCTTATATGACTTTTCCCCCCCTCCATATAAAAACAAAATAGAACCATTTTATGCTTTATACAGACTTCTAAGTAGAGGAAGCAATTATTTAGGTGACAAAATTTCATTAAGAGCACATTAGTAATGTTGACATTTGTTCTTTAAAAATGTATAGATTAAAAATATCGTCACAGCACTAAATCCAGTAATCAAAAGCAGTTTTACTAAGCTCCAAAAACTTCCTTGCCTAAGAGAACAAATTTTAAAAGCACACTTAGGAGATTCAACCAACCTCAAAGATTGGTTCGCCAGAAAGCAAAAAAGAGGTAGCCAAAAATCAGGTCAGTTCAGCAGAAGCAGGAAGCTTGTGCCAATCTTTCAGTTGATTTGGTTATAGAATCTAAAAAGGAAGTCCCAGGAATCTCCTGCTCTCCTGCTGCCAGAGAGAGGGTCTTTTTTAAAGTCAGAAGTTTTTTTTAAAAACAGAGACAGATTATGTATAATTCAAGATCACATTATAGTATGATCTTTCATTGCTAGGTTGTAGGTATTTACATAATCACATCAGGCAGTAACTTGCACTGCAATGGAAATTACCATATCAAGAGGGCAATAATGTGGCTGTATTCTGTTGGCATAAAATCTCATTACACTGGTTTCCTTAAAATAGGAAAAGTCAGTGTTCAAGTTACAAATTATAGCTTCTTTGTTAGGCTTTTATATCACCAGAAGGCTATCTTAACACACATGGATCTGACTTGCAGCCCTTTAGCAAACTCTGGAGTTTTTGCCTCTGAAAACAGGTTAGAGGATCTACATCAGTAGAAAGATTAAATATTAAGTTTTTCTACCACAGGAATAGATTTAAAAAAAACAAACAAACCCACACAATTACTTCTATCCACTTAAAGATACCACTGACAATGAACAGCTTAAATAGACGATAAATAGATTATTCTTTATCACTTGTGGGTGTCATAAATACCATGACAGCAACTCAGTCACCTATATTTGGGCATCTAATGCCCTAGGACACAAGCTAGCACAAAGCCGGCTGGTAGATGTAACACTGGTCTTCCAGAAAACCCACTTCCTTCTGAAGCGCAATCCGGTGGTCAGGAAGGATGCTTGCCATACTTGCCTACCCTTAATCCCAAACATGTATTGAAGATGCAAGCTGCTAAAAATGTTTAAATAAACAAAAGGAGGAATCACTTTTGAAACAAGCAACAGTTTCCCCTTATGTTTTGAACTTCCTAAATAGCAAGTTCTGCGTGGCAAACTGGATACATAAAGTGAAAATGACTGACAGCTTTTCACTGTCTGATTTGTGAGCCATGCAAAGCACAAAGCACATGACTGAACTCGTTTCATAGTAATCCTTCAAAAGAGTTTCAATGTAGATGTCAGTTTGTCTAATCCCTGAACAGAGTAGGACCAGAAAAAGATCTGAAACTCAGCACAAAGATGGCTTTACATCTCTGCATCTTTCCTGAGCTTCAAGTTAAACCTAGATGTTGATGCACCCATCAATTAGTCTAACGGTAAGGGCTCACAAGGTGCATAAGGAAACAAAAGGCATTTACTTCTTTTTACTATATATATATGTTTTATAACATGGCCTAGCAAGCCAGGGTTGCTACAGGAGCAGGGAATTCCCAAGATTTCCCACTGCACTCTTCTGCTAGAGACACGCAAAGCAGCTACAACATAGCCAATCATTAATTCCAATGTTTTTAGGCACACTCCTATATGACAATATTCTTTTCTAACAATAAATGTACATACTTAAAAACTGGAGGAGAAATGGCTAAAACAAGAAGAATCTATAAAACAGAAAAAGGAAAAAAGGTGTTTGAAGTTCTACATTACTTCACATCATCTGTGTTAACAGAATACCTTCTATGTCTTCTAAGAGCAACATTGAGTTGAATTAGGAAGAAAACCTGCTGTTACTTGAATCAAACCCAGGAATAATAAAATTTCATTTTAAGGCATTTGCATAAAGAAGCTTAAGTACGTTTACAATGACATATTAAAGCTCTAAGCATTTAACACAGCACATGCATCACCAAAAACCCCTACAGTCACAATTTCATGGTTAAATGCACCGTAGAAACCCAAACATCTCTTTTTGATGGCTTACTTTAATTTACCTCCTTCTCTTCCCCCAGAGAGATAAACTGTTATAATCAGTCATTAAGTGGCTACATATGTACCAACATACAGCCTTTATAGTAGTAATAGGAAAGAAAGTCCCAGACAGCATCAGTAAATACTAATATTTTTGGCTTTGTTACTACTTAAACAAAGCATAAAGAATGCGTGTGACTCATCAAGTGTCCTTCTCCCCTACTGCCAAATCTCTGCTTCTGTTCAAATTTCTTCTGAACCAGTCCAGGATGTAGCTCAGCTGCTCTCTGCTGGCCACTTGAGAATATCATCCAGTCATGGAAGCGATACCCTTTTACAACACTGAAGTCAAAGCATCAGCAATTAGCTTTTGTCTTATGGTCTACCATTTCATTTCATAACCATGATCTGAATGGAGCTGCCAAAACTGTAGGATACACGTGGATTTTTATAAAAACCTTGTAAATCACTGATATTGCTCAACAGCAAATTCATTTTTCAAATAGAAACATAAATGCTGCACAATGGTATCAAATCCCAGCATTCAAGTAAAGACTCAAGAAATATATAAATTAGCAGGGACAATTTCTTTCAAAACCCATTCAGGATCATAATTTATAAAGGATTCCCCAATATGGTTTCTAGATTCTGCCTTAGAAAAGAATTGTTCTGAGGACCATTCTGGCACTAGAATTCTCTATAATACCCACAAACTGCTGTTTTGCGCCCTTGGATACCTCACAAGTTTCCTGTCTGTGCCTGAGTGTGCTGCTAAGTATTGGTTTTCTGAAGAGGCCCTAGGTGGCTGCCTCACAAATCGTTACCCTACCATTCATTAGCTTAAATCAACACACATACTTCCTGCTGTAGCCCTAATTCTTAAAGATGTAGCTTCAGAACTGCAAAAAGATCCTCCTAGAATTGTCTTTTTTTTTTTAATTATTTTTAGCTAACCAAAGTTTGTGTCTTCTACTAGTTTTTGAACACGTATATATATGTATGTTAATTTAATAAATACAAGCCCAAAATACAAATTTTAGAGCCTCCCTGAACATATAACAACTGTCCAGACCAGCTTCCTAACTGAAGTTGTTCTGTTCCTTGGGAATAGAAAAAGGAAAGCACATCAGTGAAGCAAACTGTATTGCCTCTCCTCTCCAACAGCATTATGCATTTCTTCTACCTGCCTTTTCTGACGTGATTACACAGCACCACACGCACCTGGAATATTTGCAGATTCATCATGAGTTTTCCCCTTGGGGGAGGATGAAACCATTTTTGTGAGAGGTATTAAACATGTTTCTTACCATAGCATTTTAAGGCACTCAGGTGCTATAATAATGAAACAAGTACAACTTTCTATTGATGAAACTAGTCAAAGTAAGAGTGCTCAAGAACAATGTGCAAAAGGTAACATATCATACAGAAATCTTCAAATTCATACCCACGCTAACTGGCTGGCTGGAGTTACTGCACCAATTTCAGTAAATTAAATACAGCTCCTCAGAAATAAGCAGAGCATGCCTTATTTGTTGCCTACTGTTAACAGTTTTAAAATAATTAAGTTTTTGGATTTAAAGGCACAACTGTACTACAGGTATATTAGCAACTCATGCAGAAATAAAAACATTTCTTTCAGGATGACATAATAAAGAAAGAGGTTTCTAACTAAGTAGAGATATCCTATTTTATATATTCCCAAAGTTCCCTCCCTGCCAGGTACTTTAGGTCATTTGGCATAACTTCATACATACAGTATCTGTAAACTGTTTCTGCAGCATTCAAAAAACAAATTTAAAAAAATGCAACTTTTTTTTTCACACATCTACCCAAAATATTCACACAATAATGCCTGAAGTTCTACTTTTCATATTCATTTTTAGAGACCAAGACTTGGGTGCCTGACAACATTTTTAGAAATGTTGAGGAACCACAAGTCCTGTTGAGCAAAATTGCTTGGCATATGGGAAATTAAGGCACTTCATATATAAAGGTATCTCATTCTAGGTACATCATTTCAGACATCCAAGTCCAATGCCCTGCAGAAACATTACGCAACGAAACAACGTACCAGTAAGAGGGGGTTTATGTGAATGCAGACTGCAGGGTATGCTGACAATTAACTTATGTTCTGGAATTGGAAGTACATCTTCAGATTTCCTGTTGTATAAATCAGAACAAGAAAAGAAGTATGAGAATGAATACCACCAAATGCGATGCTGCATCTCTCACAAAGCTACTTCCGATGGGAGCTAACACACAGAATGTTCATTCACAGTCAAACTTCAGACAAGTCTAAGGGAAGTTAAATGTTGCTCAGCCATAATATCTAAAAAGACAGTTTATGAAATCACTGAGGCTTTAGACAAAACATGGTTAACAGCAGCCATACAAAGCTGTGGAGAACAAACACCATAGTCCTGTGTGTTTTCACGTGTAGAAAAACACCAGCATCCCCAAAATGGTGTCTTGGACTCATGGTCCAAGAAAACCTGTCAGCAAAGGAAGCCCTGTCCACGAGGCTTTTATCTGAGCCAGTCTCCCAATACACACAGATATAAGGAACAAAGGTTTCCATCCTTTAATCTCACTGAAGCACTCCCTTATCCCAAAGCTAATAAGGCTATTTTTAGGTCCACAATCAGCCAAAAGATGATGCCAAGAGAAGATTTTGGGACATTATATTGTATTATGAACAAGTTGATATCTACAGAGAGAATCCTAGCAGCCTCAAAAATGACATTTACCATAAATATCCTGGCATACCTTAAGGCTTCCTTTACGTCTCCTTGAACTCTCCCCAATACAAGAACTTCGTAGGGTTTTTTGTGCAAAGAATCCAAAGGCAATACAAATTCTCCAGCTCTAGTAATCTAACACAAAGGAGTTAAAAATATACAGTGGAAGATTTTCATATCCAATTTTTTCAAGCCTTTTTTTTTGATAAAAAGAAAGATACAGATGATACCACACATTTCAAATACAAAAGCACATGGTAGTAAATAGACAAATTATAAGAATATGAAGTGTCATAGTGGAAGCCCTGTCAGTCTCTAAGAAAGCAATAAAACAAATTGAGAACTTACTTTTACCCAGTGCCACTCAGCAAGTGTTTTCACAGACCAATGAGGATAAAGTTCATCCTTAACAAAACGTAAGTGCTTCTGTCTATTAGTCACCCATGTGACTACAAGACAATTGGGAGCAGCTAGTGCTGGTACAGGAATCTGCTTGATTTGCCATGAAGACAAGTGGCTGTATCTATATGCCAATACAGTGAGAAAGCAAGTTAGCATATACCAAATACAAAAATTGCAAAGCAACACAGACAGATAAAGAAATTACATAGCCAAGACCTTTCAAGAATTATCTCCTGACAACACAAGTCATAAAAATGGATCAAGACTGACACCCAGTGGCCAAATCTGATGGATTCTCATATAAAATCATTAGTGTATGTACTTAAGTTTTACTGAGCAGAACCTTTAACTGCATATTTCTACTATTCCCCCAAATAAAGTATTATGAGTTGTGATTCTGAAGAAGTCTAAAAGCCCATGTTTAATTTAAGAACTATCATATGTACTTCAATACTCTCATCTTTACACCAGAACAAAGCTATTTAGTGAAAAGTAGCTCTTTAGTCAATGTAACATTATTCGCTTTTCATAATAAGCAGTCTCTCTTCTGAATGAAAACGACAAGTGAGTCATTTACCAGTGCAAGGGCAACACTAATTTGACTGGCAAGTTAAAAGGTCATAAAAGAGTAATCCAATTATTTGCAGAAGTTATTCATTATTTTTAAATTACCATACATGGTAAAAGTTCTCTAGGTTATTCAGAACAGTTCTGCACATTTTTGAGCTAACTGTATGCTACATTAGTGAATACAGTATGCTTTCCAGATTCTGTCCAGTTCTACCATTTTTCTCGTGATGCTATTCTACACTACCAGTGAATTGCAATTTGCGGAATCTACATGTTACAGCATCAAAAACATTGGCACACTGCCTACTGGAATCGACAGCCACCATCTGGGTACCTGGGATCCCTATACAATGCAATAGTGAGAACAACAGTGAGAAACAGGTAACAAGGATAAAATCCAAAATATCTCTTGGACTAAACTGCCCAGAAAAAACAAGATTCACAACCCAGATGTGAAATGCTTAACAAAGATTAGCCGTCAACAAGGTAACTAACAGCAGTGATAGCTCTTCCACCCTTTGCCTTTATTTTGTAAGGGAGAGAGGGTCTTGCTGGCTAATTCATTCTTGTGAATTTTCTTTTGAGTAACTTACATAATTAAGGAAGACACTTGAATGAGTTTAACTCCGGGTTTCTACAGGTTTCTGTAGGGCTTTCAAAGTAAAACCTACTAATCAGTCTCTGCCTCTTCAAATTATGTCTTCATAACAAGCTTCAAAAGCCACAGTGGACATTATTCTAGAAAGTTGGAAGGCTGCATTTCCTGTCTGTCCTTCTTTCACATGGATATAATTCTACGGTAATCAAGAGAGCTCCGCTGGCATAAGCCCGATGTTAATCAGTGGAAAAGGAAGCTCATAAAATTTTAAGTTAATGACTTCATAAACTACAGTACTTAGAAAGTTCCTATTGCACTTGAGGATTTTACTGCTGCATTATCACTTTCTCTCTTCTACCCATCAGACTGAAGCTCAAACTACAGCTTAAATTAAAAAAAAAATTAAAAACCTAAAACTTCTAGATTGGATCTCAGTCCTGGAAATATACTTACACATTTATCTAGCTTTATCCCCACTAAAGTAACCCTATTAATTTCAAATTAGTATCTGCATGATCTGGGCCTTACAAAACAGTTGACTCCAGGCTTTCCTTGTAAGTCTCAAGGACTTACCAGTTAGGTAATTTAAGATCTACTCTTGCAAATATTTTGTATGCAAAGTATCCAAGCCATTTCAGTGAAATCCCCGAGACATTTCATAGACATGAAGGTAGACATGTGCGAAAATGTTTGCTAGTTTAAGCTACAGTCTCATAGTTATATTGGTCTTGGATTGCATCAGCATATTAAAATGTTAATTACCCTTTGTAACCTCAGACGACAAAGTTGGTTTGATTTTACTATAAAATTTACCTGTTACTCCTTTTAACAGACTTGTTCTCCCATGGTGGATCAATCACAATTACATCATACTTCTTGTCTGGGAAGTGAAATGACAAAAAAAAAGCCAGTAAATTAGTTTTAAAATAAATCTACTAGTTAAAACTGGTAAAGGCTCAGCTACCCACATACAGACATTTAAAGAGCCAACTATGCTGCAAAACCATAACTTTCTTCTGTTCTTTCCAAATAAGAAGTTAAAAGGCTTCTAGCATGCTTGTTTTAATTCAGATAATCATATACTTCAGCAATTTTTAGGCTGATTACCTAAGGAAAGGATGTTTATGTGATCTGTGTCAGATCCCTCCAAGAAATTTTGAACATCTTGAGGACTTTCAGAAAAAAACTGATAGCAGAGTGCAAGTCTCAAAGATGAACATTTCTCCGAGTTTCCTAACAGAAGCTATGTAATAAGGCACCCAGCTGAGTGAAAGGCTGCAGCCCTGAACACAAGATTCCTGTGCTGTTTGATGCTTCAGCAGGCCAATTGGGACACGCAGAGCTCCAAACCAGCCCTGGAAAACTGTGTTTTGCACTACTGGAGGTGAAGAGAGACAGAGGGCTAGACCCAGTGTGTGAAATGGAAATTAATGGACAAGAGGAACAGAACTGAAAGAGTTTTCATGGGAGAAGCTGGGTTTACTTTAGTTGGAGGATAGAAGATACAGGACACATCCATGAAAAAACAGGACTCTCCAATTTTATTTTTTCCACAGAGCATATTTGTTCCTTCATTGAATCTGACGCTAATTATTTAAATAGCTAATAAGAACAACAGCTTAATATTTAATGTCCATTAAATGTGCTTTCTACATCTTATTCCTTTATTAACATTGGAGGTGTTATCCTGACAGTGGGCTGACCAGCAAGAAAGACTTCTCTTTTGGCAGGTGAAAGGGAAAATAATAATTAAAACGGACAGTAGACTTCCTCAAAAAAAAAAAGTCTGAAGTCATGGCATTATATTAACATTCATTGTTGGTTACTTCAAAAGCATTTTCTCAAATTTCTTGGACTGCTCTCTGACCTCCAGGAGAATCCAAACTTGCTATATGCACAGCTGTGCTTAGTGATAGCACAGTAATAGTGATCTTTCTTCTTTCACACAGTTGAAAACAGCTAACTGGCTGAATTCTGGGTTTCAAATAGAAAATTATTATTTGGATAATAAGATTCCACTTCCTGCATGTCTTCTTAATACAAAAAAAAAATTAAAAAAAAAATTAGTGAACATCGAAGTTGCGTATTAGAAGGGAAAAAACATAAGTAACTAACAAATCTAAAATTACCGATTAGGGGACAGAGCAGTAATCCCCATCTCTTGCTCACAAGCAACATTTTTCCTGTAAGACTGTCTGATGAAGCTTAGCTGCTGCTGCTGCTAATAATAATAATAATGATGAAGGTCAAATTGAAAGCTAATGGAATGGTGAAGTACAGTGAAGACTGCCGCATGTTGTCAGCTTAAAGCTTTCTGCATGGCCTGTTAAGGCTGGGGATACTGGCCTGGATAGCTTTTGATTTACTTTTACAGAGGAGTTACTAATTCTAAAATCCCACTACTTCCCTGTCACTGATTTTGGCTTAAGCCAATACTCTCAGATGTGAACTGTAGCAGCTGAGAAGTCAACTCATGTTTGCTACTCATGGTCTTGCTAAAGTGGAGTTCACCTCCAGCTGGGTGCAGCAGCCTCTCAACCTGTTATCTTCTCTGGGGGACACTGGGGTTGGTTTCACAATCAGTTTATGCCAATCTAAATAGACCCTGCTGCTGAACAGGATGAATCTGTAAGGGAACCCTTGCTCTAAGGTGCATGAGCTCATCTAGCTAAAAACCAAGACAGCAGAAACACCACCCCAGCAGCAGCATGGACTTACGTATGTTAAAGCCTCATCCTGTGGGATAGGGACCCAGCAGCATAGCTAGTACCAATTTAATGCATTTACATGACTTCTATACTGAAAATGGCTCAGAACACACTCACAAACTGTCGTATTTTGGGCTTCATGTAAAATGCTATGGCTGAGATTTTTAAAGGAGACTCCTGGAGACAGATAATCCCCCCATGACATGAGCTCCTAACCACTCAAGACTTCTTTGAAATCCCCCACCTACTTGCACAAAGTTAGAAATAACACTTTGAAAGCTTGCAGCAGCATTTCCTGTCAGTGTGATGCTGTATATTAAAATCTGTTCATTGAGTTCTTAGTCATCTTGACATTAACTGCCCTTCTCAGGCAGGAGAGAAGTGGTAAATTCTAATGCCTAAAGATACTTACAGTTAAGAAGGGCCTGTAAACATGAAATATCAGATAAAAGGAAACTGCTTTTTGGTGGCACCAAGTACTTCTGCCCCATTAACACAACTATCTTTGCACAGTTTGAGCTGTTTTCTGTAACACATGAAAGCAGGTCCTGCTCTGGAATGGAGGTTTCATCATCTAGCACACGTACAGCTTGATGGTCACTTTCATTCACAGCTGGAAACTGCTTTGCCATTTCACATAATTCAGCCAACCCACAGCCAATGTGTCCAGGTACAACATTCTTCCTGCAACTGAGTTCTGCAGTAGTGCGGTGAAGAAAACCACTTTTGAGTCCTTCTTGGACTAAATGCAAAGTGCCTTCCCAAATGAGCTTCCTGACCTGTATTGTCATAAAGAAACAAGGGAAAAAGGAATTATCTTTCAAGTATCTACTTGATCAGGGAATGCGACAGAAATCAAAACATTTTCAATCTGCAGATTCGGAAAAGGATCCTTGCCAAATACTGAGATCATTGACTCAAAAGCTACAAGGACATGATAATGAGGCCATGGTAACTTTTGTTGTTGTTTTTTTTTGGCAAAGTGACAATAATTAGGAGAAAGAAAGAGTGAGAGACTACCGAATAAAACATTTCACAGACAATAGAGGTGGAATATTATTGTTCCAAACAAACACAAATTTCAAAGCAACAATTTGAAGTATAAGTTAAAATTCTAATCTAATTTCAAGTTACTGTGCCCATAAACATATTTGTAATTGAGATGTATACTGGGATCTAAAAATCAGTATTTCTCCACATTTTAATTCACTTTGAAAAACAATAGTTTATGCATTTTAAAAGTAATATGGAAGTACAATAAGTAAATCAAATTAAATTATTAGAACTTGGTTTTGCATCTTTTCTAAGTTACACACCTCTCAAATAATTTGCTGGAGAGTCCAGGAAGACAAGATTCTTGGATCCATACACACTCTCATTCACTTCAGCACCTTCCCCTTGCAAAATTCAGAGACCTAGTTTATTCCCAAATCATTGAGCCTTCATGAGTTTTAATTATCAATGAGGCGTTTTTGTTCATTTAGAATAGCAATATTGCCAGTTACAGTGGCTTTATCAAAAGTTTCAAATACTTACTATGATTTCTAAAGCTCCTGATGATGGAATCCTCAACTTTACAAGATGTTTTTACAAAATACTCTTTATTACAATTTCCAAACTGGGGGGAGCGGGGGCAGATTTTTTTAAAAATCATTTTTTTAATAGCATCACCATCTAGATATCTGAGGGGACAGAGTCATGATTTTTTAGTAGATTTGTGACAGTAAAAGTTCATACTGCTTTAACAGAATTAATAAATATATCTTCAAAAATGCTACAAGTTGTACAGCTGAATTAATGCAGACGGCTTTTCTTCTTACATTCATGTGTTAATTCGCAGGTGGACAAAGCCTCTTGACTGTCAAGCAATTTAAACAGTAGTTCTAACAAATGGCTGCTGAAGGAATTTAGCATATTTTGTACAGTTCCCTATGTTGACTCTGACTGAAATTCATAAATGGATTCAATGCCTACTTTCACTGGCAGACACAAATTTGGGCTTTTTTCGGGAAAACAATTCTAAAGATATGAATAAGTGCCAAAGTAATCTGAATTGACGTGCAAAGCTACAACCTTTAACACTACAAATACAGTAAAAAACCAATACATTCTGATCTGTGAATGGTATCAGATTTTTCCAAAACTGTGTCTTTTTTGCATATTCACCAAAAATCACTTGAAGTTACACAGGCCTCCAAGACACTAAACTACTTCTCTTCGTTTCTTCCCTTATTCCTAGTGTTGAATGACTTGATTTTAGCTGAAAGGTTTTCATACATATAAACCTCTGTTTGATGTTGAACTTCAAAGTTCTCTGCTTTAAGGCGATTCTGCACATGCATAGCTTATTCACAACAGTAATTACAGGATGTCTAAACTGTATCATAGCAAACTGTACATGTTTACTACAAAATTGTTGCCATGTAAAAGAAGAAAAATTTAGTAATTTAAACATAGTCCAAGAGGAACAGAATTAAACAAAAAGCCCTATATGGCTAACACCTTTGTCAGAGGAAAGAAAGCAAGTATAGGTCCACAGGTTCAGATTCACATCACTATTTAGGAAAGCAGTAAGAATACATCTAACATTATCCATAGATTACATTTCTAGGATTTACTAACATGCTTCAGTGTAATTCATTTGTAACGTCACCAATACATCACTGACATGAGCCTAAACAGAGACCTGAATTCTAATTCATTCATGATGTTTTAGTAAGACAATGTAAAATGTTAGAGGGAATAATTCTTTCTCATTAGCAGAAGCGAGACATCTTGGAGCACATTTGGTCAGAGAAGCTTTGAGTAACTTTAGCACAGTGATATACTAAAGATGAGTTGATCTTCAGAACAGGTTACGCTGTTTATTTCAAATCAGTCACTTCCTGTTCAACTAATATTCAACTCATCACTATATAATGCTCAGTTATCCATAACAATAAAAGGTATTTTGTGAATGCAGCTTCCAGCTCTTCGAAACATCTCAGCTGCAGTTTCATGTCTAGTTTGTTTCACATATACATACACAGAAGATATTCTCTGTATGCACTTACTCACTTAAGGACTGGAGAGATGATGACCTTCCCATTAGTGGAACAAGCTACAAGAGCAGAACTACTTTGCAACCATGTCTTGCACTCCGTGCATGCCCAAAGTCAGGTACCATGTACTTGCAAAATATACTTTTGTTCAGACTTACCTTTGAATGGTATTCTAAAGCATCCAGTTCACCTTGGTTGAATACACATTTCCTTTTACGTTTCTGCAGAATGAGCAAACCGGGGGGGGGCGGGGGGGAGGGGGGGAAGCGTGGGTGGTGGTGGGAGCAGGAAATCCATATTACTCCATGATGAAAGGAAAAAAAAAAAAATAATCAAACATACCTGAATTACAAATTAACTCTTTTAAAAGCAGAAGAAACTTCCATCTCTTTCTTTTTCTATCACAAGTATAAGTCCAATAAGGAAAAAGATTATCTTAAAATACCTAGGCTGCTGTAAGCATTCTCACAGTACATAGGCTTAAAGCTGTGTTATGTTACTCACGGCACCAGCATCTGAAGGTACCTAGCGCATGCCACAGTTCATGTTCATGTCTCCTTTGGGCCCACAGAAGGTATTTGTTCAGCTGCCAAGTGCAGCTTACCAATAACAAAAGAAAATTAACTAGGTCTTCACAATTATATTTGTTGGTTTAGACCTGCAACTCTTTTTTTTTTTGGTCCATAAGGAACAGTACTGAACAATCTACATACCGAAAGTAAATTCATACTGTCATTCCCTCCTTGTTAATCTGCACAAGCTTGGCAGCTACCACAGTTTCAGCTCAAGTGCCTGACCACAACCAGCATCAGAAGATTTTGTGAGCAACCCACTACTTTTGAGTCACAGGATGCACATTACTGACGTAAAGGACACAAGAATATCCTCATAAGTGCTGAAATTTTCTGTGCGTCTTGAAATCTATTGTGGAAAAGTTCCTGCTCTCCTACATACCCTCAGGAAACTGAAATGTGCAAGACAATGTTAGTGCTTTATTATTTACCAGGGGATTACTGTTGTTTACTGTATTACGGAGAACATACCTTCCTAGCACTGGCAACAGAGTCTCCGACACCACTCTTGGTTCCTTCTCGGTGTTCCTCTCTGTTGCTGTTGGCCTTTATTTCTGTGAGACTCGCCTCAGGACATCCCTGCCACAGCTGCTCCTCAGGAGCTGCAGCTATATGGGGCTTAGAAATGTCAAAGAACTCCTCCCGAAACAAGTATCTCGTTTTTGCCGTTTTACCTTCTGTTTCTATCACAGGACCAGGAATAGGACCATCTCTTGGCGAGGAGGTGGCAGGAAAGGTAGAAGTAGCGTGACAATCTCCAGTAGAAGTGACAGAAGTGTTGAGAGTGACACTACCAGGGTATGCAACAGAGTCACAGATCTCATAGCCACACTGGTTGATGAAAGAGAGATGATCCACGAGCCACCCTGCTGTCAGCCGATGTACCACAGACATCATAGCTCCCCTTTTCAGGAAGAAAAATCAACTCGCTGAAGCTGCAGCCGGTAATCATACGCACCTCCTGGAGCAAACTCCTCCTGTGGGTATTTTTTTAAGAGTTCACTTTTCAGAACTATCACTGTTTAATAAAGTAGCACCTATCTTCTGACATGCGCACGCAGGACATGCTGTAGAAACTTCTGACTTCAGCTGGTTTCCCCGTTGTGACTTCTGTTTCACCCTTATTTCACTTTTTTATCATAAGCAAGTTTTAAATACGTTTCTATAATTTTATACAGTCCAGATTTATTTTAAGATGGGTATAGATTTATTCTAAGATGACTCTTTCAACAAGTTAGAAAACAGCATTTTGGCACGGCAATTAGGTAAACCAAGACTGTATAGGACAGCACTCAGGAGCAGCAAGAGAAGCACAGAGGCAGCCCCAGTACCGGCGCAGCGGAGGCCAGGCCCCGGGGCCCGGAGCCC